AACTGTCACAATGAAATTTGTACATTTTCTTTCACAATCAGATGTTTGATTTGCAAAAAATAAGAAGGAAAGTGAAAGAAAGTGTGCTAAAGATACCCTAATACTGCAAAAGTTGGAGGAGCCTGTTTGTTTGGTTCAAAAACTACAGAAAGAGCCCCCTAAAAACTGACACAAGGAAATTTGTATATTTTTTTCACAATCAGATGTTGATTAGGTGAAGGAGTTTCTACAGTATTGAGGAATTAGCCAACAACCACCAATTTCATTCATGAACATGCTTAATACTCCTCCAACTTTTCAACGTCAAAGTTATAGCATGGATGAAACTTTGTCACCTAATCAATAATGTCAAAACAATAAGAGAAATGCTATTGATATTGATGGTGATAAAAGTTCATCCCCTAACTCAAAGAGGAACAAGAAAGCGTTTGCTCATAAATCTAAAAAGAAAGACACTTGCAAGGGGAGAGTTAACCAATTATGAAAGAGTAAACATGATGATTTGCTAATTCTTTTCTTTGCAAAGTGTACGAAAGATGGAATGAATGTTGATAAAAGTTCAAAAAAAACAACTTATCATGACGCCGCCTTTCATATCAATGAACAATTAGATTCAACATTCACAGTCGAGAACGTAGAAAACTGTATGAAAACTATCCGCAATAGATTTTTGGACATGAAAAAATGTCGTAACTTGAGCGGTGCCAATTAGGATGATGCGAAGAAGATGGTAATTATGGATGATGTTTGCTTTGATAGATGACTAGGGGTATTTACCATTTTGTCATATTCATTTTTGATTAAATATTTACCATTTTGTTCACTGTCTTTCACATATAGATTTGATATATGCCTAAACTATGCATGACAAGAATATCAATAATTCTAAGCTTAGGGAATACATCAACAAGCCCATGAAATATTATGAAGACCTCGTAATTATTATTTGAGATGATGTTGCTAGAGGAGACTATGCGATAGATGTGTTGGACAAATTTGGTGGTAGTGCACATTTTAATATTGGTGATGATGAAGATGATACTAGTATGTCAAAGGAGAACACGCCTAGCTATGTCTCCTTGGACGAAGATTATATTCCACCACCGAAGGTCCCAACTATGTCCTCAAAATCCAATCCAACTTCTAATGTGAACAAAGCTAAAAATGATGTGTCAAAGATGCGTAAAGCAAAGGGGGAGGTCTAGTGAAGACACAGCGCTTATGCATGAGATAGTAAATGAGGTAAAACAATTCACATCATCTATACACATTGTGAGTATGCATTGGACTGAGAAGTTAGCAAAAACTATATTTGCACATGATGATGAATTTAACATAGAAATTCTTAATAAGTTTTATCAAGAATTGCATGAGAATGAATCACAAGCTAGGTTGTTTATGGGGAGGCCAACTATTATGCAAAAGAAGGTGTTGACTAAGTTCATGAAGAGTCAACCTATTGATTAGAGTGGTGGAAGGTTGGATATGATGCTTTTGGGATATTTTTATGAAACTAGCTGATTATATCAATGCTTGTATTGTTATTTTTGTATGTAAATGAGCTAGCTGATTGCTCATCCTTTTGCCTACTAACTATGGTAGATGTATTAAACTTTCTTTTGTGCAAAACTAATGCTACTATCTCTATCTTCATACATCTCAGACGTGACATTACATGCTTAGTATTCAGTTTATAGACTATGATATATACATTTTACATGTTATATTGAATATTCGATTGCTAATGCATACTTGTTTGACAGGTTTACAAGTGGGATAAGGTGAATGATTTCACTTTGATGGGTTGATAGTATCCTACATATTTCTAGTGTGATGGAATTAAAGTTAAAAAGGTATGCATAATATGTGTTATGATGATAGGCTATTCTTAAGATATGCAGGCAAAGTTTATAAGAGTAATATATTGGCGAGGCAATCCATGATGACAATGCTTATTATGTAGGGTCATTATAATAATTACAGCCAACATTGCTTTTATAAACTTTATGGCGAGGCAGATAATGAAGAAAATGATCTTTTTCTCAGCACATTTTCTATAAATTGTATTAAGTTTCTGACTTGGTTTCAAACTTGAGTTGCTCGAGTCTTGATTTAAGTTGAGTTGGTTTCAACTTGTTTTTCCTATATCCGATATAGTCTTGGATATTTTTAGACTTGGTTTGGCCAAAGTTTTGGTCTCGACCTTGGCCTCGGCCTTGGTTTCAGCATGACGTTTGGTTTCAATTGTGTGCTTGCTTTGAATTTCCAGCCAGTGTTGCCTTTGAATTTCCAGTCAATATCGGTCTCGGCCTTGGTTGGTTTCCAGCCAATATTACCTTCTAAATTTCCAGCAAATGTTGATTTGGTTTTAGTATTGGTTTCAATATTGATCTCCAATTTGGTTTCAGTCTTGGTTTGCTATTGGTTACATGTATGGCACAATGATGGTTTATGTACACAGACTAGATCAATAAGCACAATGATGGTTTATGTATGGCACTCTATGCTAAGTTTTATGTAGTTTATACTCAGTTCTCAGCTCTCAAATTTGATTTTATTTGGTTTGCTATTTTCATGTTGATGGTTCATATTCAGTTCTCTCTTATTTGGTGTTTTCAAGATTATATGCACAGGTTGAGCTCAATCATGCGTACATGCTCAGTTGAGCATATTATTAGATTGAGTTATGCCACTTGGTTTTCTGAGTTATTTAGTTTTTGAGTTCCCTTTTGTTAGGTTTTTACATGATTATAAGCTCATGTTGAGCTCAATCAGATTGAAGGCTATTATGTTCAGCTCATGAGTGATTATCTTGATTGGTATATGCTCAGGTTGAGCTCAATCGGATGGACGGTATTTGGTTCATAGGTGCTAATTCTTTGTTGAGCTCTTGAGTTTTCTTTTATTTACAGTTTTTGTGTTTATATCCACAGGTTGGATCAATAAGCACAATGATGGTTTATATTTGGTACTTTATGCTAATTTTGGGTAGTTTATACTCAGTTCTCAGCTCTCAAATTTGATTTTATTTGATTTGTTGTTTTCATGTTGATGGTTCATGTTCAGTTCTCTTTTATTTGGTGTTTTCATGATAATATGCACAAGTTGAGCTCAATCATGCATACATGCTCAGTTTGAACATATTATTTGATGGAGCTATGCCATTTGGTTTTCTAAGTTGTTGAGCTTTTGAGTTCCCTTTTGTTAGGGTTTTACATGATTATAAGCTCTGAAAGCACGGATTCGCCCCCGGAGGCCACGAATCCGTGTCCGACTCGAATCAGACACGGATTCGTCATGACACGTGCACGACACGTGTCGGATATGGTCAATCCGTGCCCGACATAGGTCAACCATCAAATTAGGCTCGGACATGGTCAAAGGAGCTCCGACACGGCTCGGATTCGCCGAAGGCTGATTCATTCGGGTTGCGGGTTTGGTTGTTAAAATCCAACACGAACCGTTCGATTAAAAAACTCATCCCTGTTTCTCAAATCTCCCGTTCGATTCGATCATCAGCTGACTCAAACGAAAGAAAAAAAAGAAAAAACCACGCTATTCCGACCCGATCCCGCCGACCGCTCCACTGTTCCGACCCGATCCCGCCGACCGACTCCTTTCCTCTGGCTCCTCAAGTTCACCCTTCATTCCTCCTCTCCGTCTAGCACAACCACCACCAATGTCATCATCATCTCCTCCGGTTTTTGAGTTCGAGCAGTAGCCTAGCATCATATTATTATCATAAATCTGATGGAGAAAGTTACTCATTTAAACAAAATCGAGATTTTCGTATTACGTTCCATCTATATATAATAATAATTTTAAAAAATTATTGTCGTATCCCCGTATCCTATTTTTTTAGATTTTATCGTATCCTGTATCCGTGTCCGTGTCGTATCCGTATCCGTGCATCATAGATTATAAGCTCATATTGAGCTTATTCAGATTGAAGGCAACTATGTTCCGTTCATGAGTTCTTATTTTGAGAGGTATATGCTCAGGTTGAGCTCAATCAGATGGATGGTGGTATATTTTTTAGTCCATGGGTGCTAATTCTGAGTTGTTGAGCACTTGAGTTTTTTTTCACAATTTTCATGTTTATATGCACAGCTATGATTATGGTCTTTTTTTAATGTATGGAGTCAAAATTTATACTAGTTTTCAATTGGCGAGGCAATACATGCAGCCAACATTGTTGTTTTAGATTTCATGGCGAAGCATATTATGACGACATAGAACAAAACTGAGCATAATGGAACCTTTCTCTATAGAATTTAAGGTTCATGTTATGTCTTCAAAGTTAATTTTGAGTCCCCTAAGTCTTTAAAGTTTTTTAAATTTTTCCCTAAATTGTTCATATGTGAACATTTTGCAAATTACTACCTCAAATCTTTAAATATTTTTGCAAATTACTCCCTCACGCTATTAAATGATTTGAAATTTCTCCTTCAAATATTCACACTTTTGTGTATTGACTCGCAAGTTGACCCCTCATTTTTTGTTGTCAGTGATTTTGTCTTATATGGGTGGTAATCAGTAATCACACCATGATGATCACAATCAAATTTTCTTCATTTTTTTAGTTTGAAACAAAAATAAGGGAATCTACCCAAACATCAACTACTTTCTTTTCTTTTTAAGTTGAACCAAACAAATGAAAGTGGTGGAAAGCAATTATTCTCCATATTTTTGACAAAACAAACACAAGAAATAAATTTCCGTGAAAGTGAAGGAAACAACAAAAAATGAAGGAATGTTGGACTTGGAAAATGGAGGAAAGCAACCAAACAGCCCCTTAGTAAGCATCTTGCGCTGTTTACTCAAAAAAAAAAAATCACCAAATCAAATAGTTGAAAATACCAATCCTTCCAGTCAAAGTTAGAGCCATCATTTCCCTGAACCAGTTTCTAATCAAAATCAAAACCCTAACATTTTAACCAACAGATGAACTACAACGCTAACTAAGCATAAAAAAGTAACCAAATCAAATGACTACTCACCCTTCTGCATCCATTTCCAGCATCATCGAACCCATACTGCGACCCTGGCTGCTGAAACCCTAGATACCTCTCCCCCAACTCCACGTACTCCTCCACCGCCTGGTCCCACTGCTCCGCTCTCTGCCTCACCTCCGCCTCCGACGCTTCAACAAGCAAAGAATCGAACTTTACCAAGAATTTATAGAGAGAGAAGATTTTTAGAGAGAGAAAGCAGAGAAACCTTTGCAGGTCCAGGCGTTGAGGCCGTCGGTGATGGCGAGGTCGAAGTGGGAAGAGAACCAGGTGCCCTTTACGAAGATGGAGGATTCGAGAGGGAGGTCGAGTTTGAGGCACGTGTGGCGGGCTGTGGATCGTTTGTCCGCCATCGGAGGGGTATTTCGGGAAGAAAAGTGGCTGGAATGGTTGAAGGTGAGAGCCACGGGGGAGATACCTCGAGCGGGTCGGGTTCGTTATTACATGGATCCAATATGATTTGCTAATTCAAATTCACAGAAAATTACAAGAAACCCCTTCATTTTAAGGGTAAATGGCGCTTATATACCTTATTGTTTCCCTCTTGTAGCAGTTAAATACTCCCAAGTTATAAAACGTAGTAAAAAATACACTGAGTTGATAAAATTATGCAAGTTGCTATCTTCTGTTAACCAGCCATGAGAATATTCCTTAAAATATTCTCACGTGCTGTTCACATGAGAAAATTCAATGTTTTTTGCCCTCATTTATCGTAGTATTTATCACTTTATGTATCCCTCTCTCAAAATCTAAAGAGGGTCATTTTGGTACAGTCACTTTTTTTAACATCATTAGTCAACTTCAAACGGCTGCCAAATTAGGGTATGTTTTTGCTATGTTTTGTAATTTTGGGTACTTTACTGCTACGAGAGTGGAACAGTAAGGTATATAATTACCATTTAGCTGTAATCTTACTTGTTTGGATTAATTTCACTTAAACTCTTGAAGTTTGGGGGTTGTTTTACATAACCCCTTGAAGTTTGTTTATCTCACTCAACCCGCTAAATTTTGGGATTGTATCAAACCCCACTCTGAACTTTGAACTTTTCTTATTGGACACCGTACATGTAATTTGCAAACTAAAATTTCCTCAATAAAAACTAGGGGAGTGATATGTTGCATGTAAATGATGACCGACAAAATTTATAACTTTTTCTCCAATGGTATTTTAATTATTTGCAAATTACACATAGAAGGGTCCAGTGAGAAGAGTTAAAAGTTCTTGGGGGCTTTGTGAGTCACCCCAAAGTTTAGGGGGTTAAGTGAGATAAGTAAACTTTATGGAAGTTATGTAATCCAACCCCCGAAGTTTAGCGGGGTTATGTGAAAGTAACCTTGCTTGTTCGGCCGCGCGCGCCGCACACACACACGACACATATAATATACTATATATTATATATATATAATATATTATATATATATCAATATATATATATATATATATAATATATATATATATATATATATATATATATAATATATATTAGAGCAGAAGAGAGAGTGAGAGAGGAGAGAGGAGAGAGGAGAGAGAGGAATATGGGTATACTTGGGCAAGGATCGCTGGTAGTGATGTGACACATCTTGTCCATACATCACACCTTGGAGTTGGTGAGGCTCCATCTTCAAGGTGTATGTATGGACAAGATGTGTCCACATCACAACCAAGGATCCTTGGTACCAAATATACCCATTTTCTCATATATATATATATATATATATATATATATATATATATATAATATATATATATATATATATATTAAAGGAGATTATAATCACCTTCCTGATTTTCTAACCCGTGAATTTTTACAGGGTACAAATGAGACGAAATAATCCCTCCTTTTCAGGGAGGGGGAGAGGAGGCTCAGGCCCAGCAAGTTCCAATTCAGGCCTTATAGGCCAAACGAATTCTGAAAGGAGTTATACTCCGTCTCAGCCCAACTCATGGAGGACAATTTCGAAGAAACATAATTCTTCGCACCCATCTCAGGCCTTTTATAAAGGCATAAATGATCTAATTGCACAGGAACATACTCCTGAACCCTTTACTGCTATAGTAAAGCAAGAAACAGAATGGGTAGAAAAGCCAACTTCTGATATTGTTTTGTATCTAGAACAAGATGACGTTCCTCTAATGAACGATCCAGAGAAATTGAGGCAAAGATATCTGCAGGATACATATTATCTGACATTAGCTTTAAAAGCAAGAGCCTGGATGAAAACTCTTCATGCAAAAAGGCATGGAAATTACACACTTCTGGACCACTGACAATCACACACACACACACACACACACACACACACACATATATATATATATATAGGGTGAGGTTCTAATAAAAACCTCACTATCCTAAAAACTAAAAACCAATATACTCCATTGGATCTAGATTCATCCAAAGGTTGGGATTATAATATTATTATAACTGCATAAGGTTAATCATGTAAAATTAACAACCACCAAAGAGAGGTAATAAATGCATGTGTCTGTTGAGTTCTCCATGCAAGTGTAGTTTTCCATTTCCCCATGTGATCTCACGGCTCAGGCAACCCAACAATCACGAACAGTAGCTCTCTCACTCCACAACCAGCAGCTCTCGTTCATCGTCCTTTAGCTCTCTCTCTCAATCGAGAAATCGTCTTCTAGTCACTCCACTGCCACACGAACAGCAGTGCTGTAACAAAAATCACCATTACCATCTACGACCAACTGAACTAACATCTTCAATATTTGGTATTCGTGAACCTTTTTAAAATACAAATTAAGAAGCTCGTCAACTCACCATCAACATTTCCCTTTTCATCTGTCCTCACCATTGATATATCTTTCTACCTTCATCTGTCATCACTGTAAGTATATGTCCTTCTTCATTAACTATTATTGTGGCTATCAGTGATTAAAACTTCATCTGTCATCACTGTAAGTATATGTCCTTCTTCATTAACTATTATTGTGGCTATCAGTGATTAAAATTTGGATTCTAAGTGATTTGTTAACACCACCTTCTTCATTAACTATTATTGTGGCTATCAGTGATTAAAATTTGGATTCTAAGTGATTTGTTAACACCAACAATGCATATTCACGAAGATTCACTTATTATCTCAGAGCTTACATTCTTAAACATTTTATGAAGATTTAAATGGAGAGCTTGAATTCAGGTGAGCACGTTCTAGTTGTTAGAGTCTGTAGTGATTTTCATAATGTATTCACATGTTTACGGTAAAAAAAATGTTTCTGAATTATTACTCAGTGGTCTGGAAGAAGATGATGTTGTTTATCTCGTCTGGAAGAAGATGAAGTTGTGTCAGTAGAAATAATACTCCAGTGAATCTGGATTCACAGTAGTGAATCTGGATTCAATGCAGTGAATCGAGATTCACTCCAGTGAATCCATATTCATTGTAATGGATCAAGATTCAGTATATCAAACTTAGTCATATGATTTATGTTGTTTTATTTTTAGTTGTAGGCAGCAATGAACAAATAAAGGAACCACATGTTAGAAATGCATCGGACAGTGATTTTGGCGAAGATGGAATGGACGAAGTTAGCTCGATTCCTTTTCAATCACCAGGTGGTGGTATGTATTGGAAACCTCGGGTTGAAACTGAATTTAAACCTTATCTAAACCAAAGCTTCCGATCACTAGAGGATGGTATAGAGTTTTACCGAGAGTATGGACGTAAAAGTGGGTTTGAGATCCGACGGCATACAGAGAAGAAACATAAGGACGGTGCAGTTCTTCTTAAACACATTCTTTGCAGTAGAGCTGGCAGCAATGAATCAAAGATGGATGTTAATTTTGAGGATTCTAGTAGCAATGCGAAAAATAGAAGGAGAACTGTATCTAGTAAATGTGGTTGCAAAGCTAAAGTCGTTTTTAAGTTCGATGGTTTGAAAGGATATAATGTTCTCTCATTCGTTGAAGAGCATTCTCATCGTTTGGTGTCCGGGAGTGGGAAACAATTTTTAAAGTCAAATAGAGTTATGGGTCTCGCACGTAAGAAACTTATATTTGATGGTGCAAAAGCCAACATGGGACCTAACAAAAAATATAACTTTGCTAAGGAGTTGTGTGGAAGTTATTCTAATATTGGTGCTATGTGTACCGAGTTTAAAAATTGGAGTAGGGGTGTGAAGCTTTATATTGGTGATCGAGATGCTCAAATGATCATCGAGAAGTTCACGGATAAGAAGGAGATGTGTGATGGATTTTTCTATGATTATGCAGTCGATGAAGGGGGTCGATTAACTCGCATTTTTGGGCAGATGTTATTGGACGAAGAAATTACGATGTATTTGGAGATGTGATATCATTTGACTCTACATATGCCACAAACAAGTAAGATTTTATAGTTAATCTCTTATGATTTTGCATTATTGGAATTATATATCATAGTGAATCTTATATTTTTTGTATGTGATACAATAGGTACAACATGAAGTTTATTCCATTCACTGGGCTCGACAATCATAAGAAGTGTGTTGTATTTGCAGCAGGATTGATAGCTAAAGAGGACATTGATAACTATGTCTGGATTTTTGAGGTATTCATGAAATGCATGATTCGCGAGCCAAAGTGTATTGTTACAGATCAGTGCCCTGCCATGAAGCAAGCTATACCAACCGTCTTTAGATAAGCACGTCACTGTTTGTGCATGTGGCATATCATGAAGAAATTTAACCAAAAGGTAATGAATCCCACATATAAACATCATGAATCCTCATTAGATAAATATTGAATCTTTCGTTATATATTTATATTGTAGTTGGCAAAATGCATTTCGAAGATGGAAGATTTCAAGAGCAAGATGAATGCACTGATTTGGAGTACAGATATAGATCCAGCAACATTTGAAGTGGGTTAGAAAGATGTTATGAAAGAATTTAAGCTTGAAAGTAATGAATGGTTGTGTGAATTGTATAACATTCAGGAGTCATGGATTCCAGCCTATTATGCTGATGATCCAATGGCTGGATTATTACGTACTACATCAATATCAGAGAGTTGGAACAGTTTCTTTGACAAATTCAACCGTAGATCTAACACATTGACAGAATTTTATCTCCGATACGAGAGTGCTATGGATAAGAAAAGGCATACAAACGCAAGATTAAACTATGAAGGAACAAAGTCGATGCCAAGAATGGACACGCCATTGTTATTGAAGAGGGATGCAGCAGAGTTGTACACTCGAACAATGTTTTATGAGGTACAAAAAGAGATAATGTCATCCTGTTATGATATGAATATCAATAGTATATCAGAACAAGATGGTGTGAAGATTTTTTCCATAAAGGACAAAAAGAGACATGGAAAAATATTTGAGGTAAAACTTAATAATCGAGATTGGAAAAAAAATTGAATCGTGATTCAATAGAGTGAATCGTGATTCAATGCAGT